GCTGGCTGAGATCGGGTGCCTTCCCTGAAGTCACGCTTGCAGCCCAGGTGACAAGAGGAAGGGAGCGTGTCCCTACAGCTCACACTAGCTACTTAATACAGCATTCGCTTAACTAGTGCCAAGGACACTGGCTCGGATGGGCCCTGGGAGCAGCACCCCGCTGAGCTGCTACACCTCACGGAGCAGCTCCTACACCTCACGGAGCTCTTCAGGGGCCAGCACCGCTCTGCGACTCCCCCGTGTTCAGGTAAGTCTGGATTTGAAGCCTGACCTGACCGCTCACAGGTTGTGGACCTCCCGGTCAGCTTCACCTTTTCTCAGCTTCTGTCCCTTTCTCTGGAAAGGTGATTAGGACACCTGCCACTTGGAGCTGCTTTGAAGGTTTGGGCTAAGCACGTAGTGCTACTGCTATTTACATAAAAAGGGCTGGAAGCTTTAATCAGAAGAGTAACTGTGGGAGGTAGGCCATCTTCCCTGTCCCCACTTTACAGATGAGGATACTGAGGTTCAGACTCACATTGCAGCAAGTTACACTAAACCTCACTGCAGAATGGGGCTAAGGCCGGGCCAGGGTGCTCTCACTGTGCCACCCTGGCCAAGTGACCGCACAAGAGCAATAGCTCTGACGTCGTTTTCTCCCCGCCTGAGTCCCTGGGCCCTAAAAAAGCAAGGCCTGGGGAGTCTGACTCAGATGGCTCCCCACTAACCCTCTGGTCCAGTTTCCTTAGTACTAGCTCAGCGAGAACTCTGTTAACAAGCTCTGCGTGTGCTGTAGAGAAGGGGATGATTCCTTCCTGTGAACTGGGCTGTAAGCCTTATTTCAGAGAAGGGACCCCGTCTCCTTCTTAATCAGTCACTGTTGTTGTTGGTTGCTATTGAGTTGATTCTGCCTCATGGCAACCCCACGTGTGCCCAGTGGAACTGCTCCATAGGGTTTTCAATGTTGCGACCTTTCGGAAGCAGACTGCCGGGCCTGTCTTCCGAGGTGCCCCTGGGTGGATTTGAACCGCCAACCTATCAGCTAGTGGTGGAGTGCCGAGGTGGTGCAAATGCTTAAGCCCTTGACTGCTAGCTGAAAAGTGGGCGGTTTAAACCCACCCAGAGGCCCCTCGGAAGACGGGCCTGGCATCTGCTTCTAAAAGGTCACAGCCTTGAAAACCCTACGGAATCAAATTGAGGGCAGTGGGCCATCAGCCACTAGCCTCAGACAAATGGGCTCCTTTCCGTGTGAGAAGCTTTTAATGGAGACCCTCCCTGCACAGTCTCACTTCCGCTTTAAGTGTCACTATCCAACTGTTTACCAAAGTGACCAAAATCAGACCCAAAACAAAAAGAAGAAACTAACCTGCGCCGTCTGCTCCCTGTGAGTCTTTTACTGTCGTGCTTTTCCTCAAGTCACTGAACCGCTCAGCCTCAGTTTTCTCACCCATAAAATGGGGACAATAATATTGCCCTGCGTGTTGCCTGGATCAGAGTAAAAGGTGATGATGTGTGGGAAAATCTTTTGTAAACCTGAAGGCGGTTTCCTCTCTGACCCCTCTATTCTAGCCATCCAGCCGGAATCCATTCCTTCCTAAAATGAGCAGTGGATTCCTGTCTTCTGTTCTTTGCAAAGCATTTCTCAGCACAGGTGCCCAGCTGCCTGAGCTGAAATTGTGCATATGGTTAATGCGCCTGGCTACTAACCAAAAGGTTGGAGGGTTGAGTCTACCCAGAGGTACCTTGGAAGAAAGTCCTGGCGATCTCCTTCCAAAAAATCAGCCATTGAAAACCCTACGGAGTGCAGTTCTACTCTGACACACATGGGGTCGCCATGAGTTGGAGTCGACTCAGCAGTGATTGGAACTGCTACATACGTACTGGAGGGAGAAACTTTGTATCCACGCTGAAGAATGTACTGCGTTTCTAGCATTTGTTCCTATTGCTGTTGTCGTTGAGTCATTCTGATTCATAGTGACCCTATAGGACAGAGGAGAACTGCTCCATGGGGTTTCCAAGGAGCGGCTGGTGGATTCAAACTGCCAACATTTTTGGTTAGCAGCTGGAGCTCGCTGGAGCTCTTAACCACTGTGCCACTAGGTAAATCTTTATTTATTGGGTTCCAAGCCAAACTTGCTACAGAAGACCTGGAATCTTCTCTCTTACCAGTTACCAGCAATGAAGTCTTGGTCAAGTTTCTTAATGTATGTGTGCCTCAGTTTCCTTATTTAAAAAATGTGATGGTAATACTTGCTTCCCTAGGTCGTTCTATCAAATGAGGACATGTGATGGTAGGAAGTCAAAAAGTGTGACATTTTTCTTCCCCCTTTTCACTTTTCTCAACTTTCTGTTTATCCTGCTAAACCTCTGTGCCTCACCTCAACTAACCTAACCCATTGCTCTTTAGTTATTCTGACGCACAGAGACCCTACAGGACAGAGTAGAACTGCCCCATAGGGTTTTCAAGGAGTGGCTGGTGGATTTGAACTGCTGACCTTGTGGTTAGCAGCCGAGCTCTTAACCACTGTGCCACCAGGGCTCACCTTGTGTATCCATAAACGGGGACCTGGTTTGCTTAGCTCACAGAGTTGCTGTGTGACTACGGAGTAAAGGTTGTGGTAGGGCTTTGAGATCGGTCATGTGCAGTATAAACCACGACAGAGTTCTTCTCAGGATCCCTGACCTCCAGCTGTGGAGTCCTGTGCTGGTCCTCACGGGCTGTTGCGTTCAGTGGCCACATTATTAAAGTTACATAACCCAGCTTCTCTTACCAGCTCCCCTTATTTCTCACCTCTGTCTGCGTTGCTTTGCAGCCCCCTTCTACCTATCATGCACATACCTCACCCCTTCCTTCTGTCTCTCAGCCCCTCCTTCCCTACCCTCATCACAACACACTTGACCATCCACACACAGTTCTCCGGATACGGAGATAGTGTCTGCCGCAATCCTGTGGGCTGTCAGAAGCCGCCTGTCACGTGACCCTCATGAATAAGTACTCAAAAGACTCATTATGGGGAGATAAGGAAAACAGGAAGTGCTCCCGAGAGCCCCGAGCGACCCACAGCATAAACAACCCCAACCCCTGCAGAAGCCCCCTCTGCGGTTGAGGAAGGGACATCCGCCTTGGACCCGGAGGGGACTGTTGGACATAGCCGGGCCCAGAGCCCAGAGCACAGGCTGCAGAGGCCAGGGAGCTGGGCTGCTGTATTCTGGGCACGGTTTCCAGGCCAGCTGCAGGGAGAAGAAGCAGGCGCTGTGTGCCCGCAGCTGGCTGCGGTTAGGCCAGGGCTGTCCCTCACTCGAGGTGTATTTAAAGAGACCCCACAAGGCGACTGTGCCCAAGGGAAAAACGCATACATGTCTGTGTTGGCTGCACGCAGCACCCTCCTCTCAGAGGCCTCCGCTTCCGCTGCAGCTCCCAGGCGGCGTCTACTGTGTACAGAGGAGGTGTCTCCTCCTGCAGGTGCCGGTGGTCACAGCCTGGAACCACCTCGGGACCCAGGCCTCAGCTCCTGGGCCTCTCTGCCCTCTGCCCAAGCTGGCCAAAAGTTCAGAGGATTAGCCGGGATCCACGCCTCCCACCCTGGTGTCTCTGTCACCCAGCAACCGATGGGGAGAGGCAGCAGATGAGTCAAAGAGAACCGCACAGAACCTCTGGCTTTGTGTTTTGTTTGTAAAACTCCGTGTGAGCCGGCTGTTTTCCGGCAGGGAGCGGCGGGGCTTTCCCACACTGCTCTGGGCCAAATGCTTCTCCTCAAAGGGATGCCCAGCCCCACGTGACTCCGAGAGGCGGTTGGGAGACAAAGCCGGTGGGCCAGGAGGGGCCCATCCTGGCTGGGTGCGCTGGCTGCCTCGTCACTTGTTTTTCTCAAGTGAAGACCAGGCGACAGGATTGAATCCCACAGGAAGCTGAGAACTACGGGCCAGGGAACCAACGAGGAGCCTGAGGTCCTGCAAAGCGCAGGCAGGGCTGGCGCGCATAGAAGTTTGGGCTTTCAGGTGGCCAGGCACCAGGAGAAATTCTTACATAGCAATGAGAGGACTCCACGAGAACAAGCAGCAGAAGCTGAGTGAGGGGGTGGGAAGCGGGCAGCTTATCAACCGGGGAAGGGAAGCCCACAGGCGAGCTCTCTCAGGCAGGCCGCTACAAGTGCCAGAAGAGTTAGTCAAACAAGAGTGCGCTACAGGACTGGCTACCTGATTTGTGGGCGCAAAATGAAAATACCGGGCCTCCTGTTCAAAAGTTAGCAACAATTTCTAGATGGTGACAGCAGAGCATTAAACCAAGCATGGACCCTTCTCAGCATGGGGCCCCTGCCACTGCACAGATCACACACCCATGAAGCCGGCCCTGGGTACCCATGAGTCATCGCCTGGTAGCAGCTGTGAAAACAGAGGGGATGAGCTGGGGATGTCTGCACACCTCTGGCCCTAACTCGCATGCCCCCGCCCCTGCTGCCCTGCAGCCACCAGTCCCCAGAATTTCACCAGGCTTGGAACATTGACTCCACCCCAACAGCAGCCCCTGTTCCTGCATTGGTGGCAGCTAAGTTGTCCCCTCTCTGAAAATGGGAAATAGCAAGGAGCCCTGGTAGCATAGGGGTTAAGAGCTGGGCTGCTAACCAAAAGGTCGGCAGTTTGAATCCATAAGCCCCTCCTTGGAAACCCTATGGAGCAGTTCTACTCTATCCTATAGGGTCGTTAAGAGTTGGAATTGACTCAAGAGCAATGGGTTATTTTTTTGGCAGTGGGAGAAGGGCTGAGGGAAAGAATGGACTGTGGAGCTGACTTCTGGGATCCAGAGCACCGAGACTCTCTGGGCGGGCCAAGAAAGGCAGGTCCAGCAACTGGAGACTCCTGAGGCAGGTGTAGAGGTGCTTAGGGACAGGATGGAGGCACAATGAATGGGCTGTGCTCTTGGTCACTCTTAAAGACCCAAGGCGACATGTCCGGAGGGTGTATGTGACAGTCCAGGAGCAGAGCCAAAGTCCAGGAGGTGTTCTCTCCCCTCGCTAACTTACCTCCAACTCTACGTGGTCATGGAGTTTCTTGCAGGTGGCAGCAAAGGTCTCCGAGGTGCCAAACTCAAAGTACCACAGCTTGTTCTTCATCCTGGACCATGAAGCAGAGAGATGGCTCAATATCGGAACAGGCAGTCCCCGGGTCACAAATGTCCGACTTACGGACAACTCATACTTGCCCTTTAATGTTCGGTAAATCAGCCCTCACTTTGAAACAACTGAATCAGCCCCAACTGGCAACAAATTCTTCATCACAATCACTTTCACTTGCTGCATGTGCAGCTTTTAATTCATTGAAAAGGCTTCGAGCCTTTCTTGCACTAACCAAACCAAAAACCCACTGCCATCAAGTTGATTCTGACTCATAGTGACCCTATAGGACAGAGAAGAACTGCCCCATAGGGTTTTCAAGGCTGTAAATCTTTACGGAAGCAGACTGTTCACATTTTCTTCTGTGGAGCAGCTGGTGGGTTCGAACCGCCGACCTTTTGGTTAGCAACCAAGTACTTTAACCACTGTGCCACCAGGGCTCCTTTCTTGCACTAAAGTAAGGCTAAATAAGAACTGTATGTACTTGTCATGGATTAAATTGCATCCCCCCCAAAAATCTGTCAATTTGGCTAGGCCATGATTCCCAGTATTGTGTGATTGCCCACCAATTTGTGATTTTTCTATGTGCTGTAAATCCTATTTCTATGATGTTAAGGAGGTGGGATTAGTGGCAGTTATGTTAATGAGGCAGGACTCAATCTACAAGATTAGGTTGTGTCTTAAGCCAATCTCTTTTGAGATATAAAAGAGAGAAGCGAGCAGAGAGACAGGGGGACCTCCTACCACCAAGAAAGAAGCACTGGGAGCAGAGTGGTTCGTTGGACCTAGAGTTCCTGTGCTGAGAAGCTCCTAGACCAGGGGAAGACTGATGACAAGGACCTTCTCCTAGAGCCGACAAAGAAAGCCTTCCCCTGGAGCTGGAGCCCTGAATTTAGTCTCCTAGCCTCCTAGACTGTGAGAGAATAAATTTCTCTTCGTTAAAGTCATCCACTTGTGGTATTTCTGGTATAGCAGCACTAGATGACTAAGATAGTACCTGTTTCAACTTACCTACAGATTCGACTTAAAGACATATTTAGTTTAATGAGAAGCTAGTTTGTTCTGTAAGCCTTCATCGAAAGTACAATTAAAAAAGAAAGACACAGGAACGCACTGGCTGGGTACTGCCTGTACTTGAAATGGTCATGTAGAGTGGATACACTGTTTGGACTGAGAGGCCCAAGCCCTCAGCATTCCCCAGTTTTAACGTTTTCAGCATTTGTTAATCAGATGATCAAAGGATGGAAATGTTAACCAACTGTTCTTGCAAGGAACTTAGAGAAAAGCCCAATTACAGCTATCCGGGGTGGACTGCCAACTGCTCTCTGAATGTCCTGCTCAGAGCAGGAGAAACAATCTCAATCAAAGGACGAGCCCATGAAAAATCAGCCAAGGTGCACATGACGGCAGGGTCTGGCCACTGCCTTTTCTACTGTTGAAGGTAACAGAGGGCCTTCAGGCCAAGTGCTCTCTTGGGTGTATGCTTAGAGCACCAAGGAAAGATCGACAGCCTTTTGAGACTCAAGACTTCCAGGGGCCGACGAGGGACAGACACACACTAAACCAGCCAAAAGATGTGCTTCTTTTGTCTACGATCTGATTGGGGGGTGGGGCAGGAGACAGCATGGGGAGACTTAGACACAGATTTGCAGGCAAGTTGAAAAGAGAAGGAAAAAACTGAGTTGTTTGGTGGCAATAGTTCCCTGCCCCCTTAACTGCATTTGCTTAGGCCATGACAATCCTTAATTTAGGGGTTGTTGTTGTTGTTAGGTGCCGTCAAGTTGGTTCCGACTTGTAGCAACCCCATGTACAACAGAATGAAACACTGCCCGGTCCTGCACTGTCCTCACAATTGTTGCTATGCTGGAGCCCTTAGTTGCAGCCACTGTGTGAATCTATTCTGTTGAGGGTCTTCCTCTTTTTCGCTGACCCTCTACTTTACCAATCATGATGTTGGCTGTGTCATATTTGCTTCAAAGTTAGAGCTCACCATTTTGAACTTTAAATTTTTTTTCACATTTCCCTAAGCTGAAAACAATTTAATCAATGGGGTTCCCACGTAGCTGGGGCTTTGCAAGGTCAGATGGTGCGTCCCGACACTTGGTCATTTTGATCAGATGGCCGTACCAGGAAGTGTTTCTGAAGGTATTCCATTCCTTCCAACCCAATTGTCACTTGATTATTAGGGGTTGGCTAAGAGAAGAGACACCTGTCCAGTTTACAAGCTGACAGATTTTGCTGAGGAAGGATTAAGCGGATCACATTCTTCCTGGGACTCAGGAGAGAGGAAGCCACCTTGCATGTCGCTAGCCCTTCCTCCTCAGATTTGCGGGCCTGGAGGAGAGGAGGACTCCTCAGATGGAAGGGGGCCCTTGTTTTTTCCTCTAATTTTCTTCTCGGTCCATAAGCAGATGACTCTTCGGAACGAGAGACAAGACTTCTTGGCGTTTCTCAAAGAGTCTACCTAGAACTTGCTGACGAGACTGTGCTCTTCCATTGTATGAACATTTCTAAGACCTCGCTGGGTAGGAGGAGCCCCTGGATAGTGCAAATGGTTACTGCACTTTGGAGGTTAGAGTCCACCCAGCAATGCCTTGGAAGGAAGGTCTGGTGATCTACTTCTGAAAAATCATCCAATGAAAACCCTATAAAGCACAGTCCTACTCTGACACACATGGGGTCGCCATGAGTCAGGGTCGACTCAATGGCAACTGGTGGAATTGGCTAGGAAGTAGCCTTTCTGACTCTTGGTACGCGTGAAAATAAATGATCAGTGACAAAGACAAGAATAAGAAAAGTCTAGGGAATTATGCTCCATGAAGGAAATTAGAAGAACTGGGCATGCTTTAACAAGACCAGCGCTTCTCAATCAGTGCACGCCTGAGATATCAAGCCCCTCAGCCTTCAGGGTGGGCAGGTGAGGTCTGGGGCAGGCTGAGTCCCCAGTGCCACTGCAAGCCTTCTCATCTGTTATCCTGGAATGTCAAACCAACGTTTCCATGTTCTGTGTGTGCCATGATGTCAAAAACTGCTGGCAGGCATTGTTCTAGATTAGTGGTTCTCTGTATGCACAGTCATGTGCATGCAAATCACCTGGAATTTTGTTAAAGATGAAGATTCTGATTCAGTAGATTCTGCATTTTCTAATAAGCTGCTGATGCTGCGGGTCCTGGACCACACTTTGAATCACGAGAGTCTGGAGACTCTGTCAGTGGTTCTCAAATGGTGTTGTTGTTGCTGTACACTGTCGAGTCAATTCCAACTCCTGGTGACCCTATAGGACAGCGTAGAACTGCCCTGTAGGGTATCCAAGGAGCGGCTGGTGGATTCGAACTGCCAATCTTTTAGTTAGCAGCCTGAGCTCTTAACCACTTCGCCACCAGGGCTCCTCTCAAACATTAGTATTCATAAAAATTACCTGGGGAATGTGATTAAAATGCTGCTTCCTGGGCTCCAATCTGTAGAGATTCTGTATGCCCAGGAATCTGCATTCTTATGAGTGCCAGGTGGTCATTATGCAGGTAGCTGGTGGACAGAACTTGGAGAAACATTGCTATAGATTCCGATGAAATGACAATCATGGAAGGGGACAGAGCCAGTTAAACCTGAAGGAAAGGATTTCCCAAGGGGGAGAGAATGAGGGTCAGTGACTTTCAATAGTCAATGATGGCAAAAGACCAAGTAATGGGAAAAACACAGACTGTCATAAACGTCAAAGTTGAGTATTCCTCCTGGCATTCACTCCAGCAGCAAGAGCATCACTGTAGCTAGGAGACCTGCATTATGATTCCATTTCCAAATATCACCGTTGGTCTGAATCATGACATTTGAAAGTTATTGCCAGAAGATTTAGAGTTTTAATAAAAATTTCCGGAAGCAACAACTATTTTTGCCCAGAAATGGCTCTTCTGATGATCTAATAAGGTTAAGAGGTCATGGTTAGGTCAAGACCGCAGAATGACAGAGAAGGTCAAACCAGCTTCTCGTCCATTGCTGGGTGAATGTCCATTGTTGACTGTGTAACCTTTGGCAATTATTTAACCTTTTTAAGCCTCAGTTTCCTCATCTATAAAATGGAGGTAATACAAAAGATCTATTTCAAAGGGTAGTTGAGAAGTTTAAATGAGATGATTGTAAAGCACTTCACACGATGCTTAGTGCATAGTAAGCTCACCAAGAATGTTAGCTATTTATTAGCTATAATTATTTCAGTATTTTATGTTGGCATATTTGGACAATATAGTAAGGCAAAAGATTGTGTTGTATAGCTGTAGACATTATATATTCAGATTTTTCTGGAACAGAAAAATGTGTGGTCATATTTGTCAAATGATGTGTCTTGAGTTTTGGTTAAAAAATATGTTTCCTATATGCCTAATTTAGGAGATTTTTTCCGGAGTCATAGGCCATGCTCTAATCCTTGGTTAATTATCTTGACCAGTCACACTATTGGTCAAAGATGTGATGTTGATCATGAATGTGCTTCTGAGAAAGTGCATGTCTGGTGCAAGACAAAAGAACTTATTAATTCAACAAACATCCATTGAGCAGCACTGTATGCCAGGGACTGGATGGGGTTTTAATAGGTACAACAAAGGACAGAACACAGCACTCGGAGCCAGCCATCCTGGAAAGGACAAACAAGGAAACAGGTCATAGTATGGTTGTTTAAGCACTAGGAGCACATAGGAGGAGTGGGGCCGGGGGAGGTCAGAGAAAACATCGTAGAGGGGTGATGCCAGGGTGAGTTCTGAAGGATGGGGAAGGGAAACACAGAGAAGAGCATTTCAGGCAGAGGAAGAAGTGGGGCAATGGGCCAGGGCAAAAGAGAGCATGGCACTGCTGGAGAAGACACAGAACTCAAGGTGCGGTTGACTAGGTAAGGCTGGAGAGGCAGGCAGGAGCAAGACTGTGGCAGCTGGGGACGCCATGCTTAGGAGTCTGGGCTTTACTTTAAAGTCTGCAGGGATGTTGCTGTTGTGGTGGAAGCAGTGGTGACC